AACTAACCCACCCCATACTTTGGGGCCTCCCACCTTCTGAGATGGCCTACACTCCATCTGTGGAGTGTGTTTCTCTCTAAATAAATCCACTTCTTACCTATCGCTTTGTCTCTCACTGAATTCTTTCTGCGACAAGACATCAAGAACCTGAGCTTCATTAAGTCCTAAGACCAGGTGTGTGATCACAATTAAAAGCCGGTGGGTTCAAGTCCCAATCTGAGTTACATGGTTTCACTTCTGCAAAGCTCTTAAGGTATGATGGTTTAGAAAGATCTTGGCTATAATTGGATGTTGAACTTTAACTTGTAGCCTATGAGGATTTCTCAAAGCGTTTTAGGAAAGCATATGAGAAGATCACATCTGTATTTGAAATGATAATTTAAAAAGCGGTTACCTTTAGGGGAGAATAGTACTTCATTTGGGAAGCAGCTGCAATAATCCAAGTGAGAGAAACTGAAATTGAAGTCCTGCACTAGGGCAGAATGAGTAAAATTGGGGAGGTGGGGTCAGATTCAAAGATAACCCATAAAGAGGGAGGCATAAATAGTCTTTAACACCATAGAGTACAGGGTTTGAATCCTGTCTGATGTTTCCCAGTTTATGAAAATATAAAAAGTATCTGAGAAATATATACGTTTACAAGGTATAAACTTTTAACACCAGAGTAGTACAAACAGATACTGGTCCAGACACGACCTTTCATTTTGCAGTCCTGCAGCTCTCCTTAACTATTGACCAGAGGAGGCCACATGGCTAGGGAACAGCAGAGCTGAGATTTGAACACAGGCAGTCTAGCTACAGAGTCCACGTTCTTTACTACTCTGCTATCAATATTTGATTCTGAGTTGTGTGGACTCATCCTGTGAAAATCAAGAGGCAAATACGGTTTGGAATACTGTATAAAGGTGATATACAGGTGAAAGGAAAACCAAAAGAGATGATACCCTTCTATGCCAAGTTAAGAAGCGTGGACTTTGGATCTTAAAGGCAATGGGGAAAACCACTGAAATTTTTAAGCAGAAGTGACATGATCAGACTTGAATGCATGCAAGATACCTCTGGTGTGTTTTGCTCTTTTGAGTTTCCTTTGCACTTTAACATAATTTTCATTTTCATTCCAGGAGTTGAGCCTTCTCCAACCATCGCATGCATTTAGTTGTTTACCATTTTTCCTAAGAAAAAACTACACTTTAAGTAAAAGTCAATTCATTTTTTATCCATTGAACAAATATTAGTACACATTAGTTAATTAGAAAACACTATTTCAAAGAATCTATGAAAATAAGAAGCTTACAAAAAAGGTAAACTAGGGAATAATGATTTGCATAAAACAATACTTGTATTTATAAATTTATGTAAAATTTCAAATCTATGTCTTTCAAATCTACTAGAGGAAAATTGTGTGAATGGATTTGTTTTCCATATATTAAAGGATCATTGTATAAAATGAAGCATATATATATATATATATATATATATATATATATTAAATATGAATAAATACATATAAAATCTTTTAATGTAAAACAATTAAGCAGACATATCTATAAATTGTATGCATATGTAAGTAAACATGTATAATATGAATAATAAAAATTTAGATTTAGCAGGCGGACTCTCAACCACTGCACCACCAGGGAAGCCCCATATATTCTTCTTAAGATTCAAATGACCTACTTAAAAACTACAATTACTAGCTAAACCAGTCAAACAACTGGTTTTGAAGACAAGTTTTAAAGCCCCTGATTCTCAGTCTGAATACTCCAACTGTGATGGCAGAATGTCCTATCTTTCAGTAATTAGAAAGGATGCTAACGCATATTTTAGGAGAATTTAAATAAAAATCTCTCAAACAAAGAATGACAACTTACAGTCCAACCAACTCTGACACATTGTCTGCATTCATTTGATAGAAAGGGAGGGGAATATATATATATATATATATATATATATATATATACACACACATATATATATATATATATATATACACACACACATATATATATGTATATATGTATCACATAATATATCAATTACAGCATAAGCAAAAACTCTAAATTTTAGCATATCAGTTTTATAAAGCAGTTTAAGTTATGGTGATTTAGCAGAACACAGGAAAGCAAGAAAATATGTTCACGCTTATACCAAATTAAGGATGTTGACTTATGTTACTAATGTATGCAACTTTAATTTTGTTTAACACTGTCTGCCAAAATAAACTTTAACCCCATAACTTAAAATATGTATGTACATAAGAGTTTATTATGTACAGTTAACGCCACTGTTTTGGCTGCAATAAAATCGATCTTGAAATTTTAAAAAAATATAAAAATAATATATGTAATATATATTATATATATAATAACATAATACAAAATAAACTTTCCTATTGCCTGTCTAAAATCAGACCTTTTGTTTAAGGGCTTTGAATTCAATTCAATTCTCTGAAGTTTTTTTTTTAAATCAATCAATCAATTAATTAATTTTCTGCAACAGCAGGTCTTAGTTGCAGTGTGCGGGTTCCAGAGCGTGTGGGCTCTGTAGTTTGCAGCACGCAGTCTCTCTGGTTGTGAGGCGCTGGCTCAGTAGTTGCGGCAGGTGGGCTTAGTTGCCCTGCAGTATGTGGGATCTTAGTTCCCCAAATCAGGGATCAAACCCGTGTCCTCTGCATTGCAAGATGGATTCTTAACCACTGGACCACCAGGGAAATTCCTCTCCCAATTTTTAAGAATGTGGAAGTTAAGCTCTACAATATTACATGAGGAAAAGTTTCCAGAATATGATATATATCTGTCACAAACTGCCCCTAAAACAAAGGGGAGCTATTCTTACTAGTTTAGAGAAATTTGGATATTTTGGGGTTTTTTTACTTTTATTTTTAAAAAGTTTTTATTGGAGTATAGTTAATTCACAATGTTGTGTTAGTTTCAGGTGTACAGCAAAGTGAATCAGTTGTACATATATTATACATATATCCACTCTTTTATAGATTCTTTTCCCAAACAGGTCATTACAGAGTATCGAGTAGAGTTCCAGATGTTTTTAAAAAGTAGATTTTACAGAGATTAAAATTGAAATGGTTGTGGAACCAGAAGGAAAATCCGACAGAAAAACTTTTCTATAATTTGTTCAAGCTGAAGATTCTCATATTTTATTTAAAAAGTACAAAATGGAGTCATAGAGTCACCAAAAAATAATACAGTGTGTTTTGACCGTTGAGTAATGAGGCTGATTTTTTTCACGAGATTTAAGAGTCACATAGAGTATAAGACTAAAAATGTGTGTCTTTTCCTCAGCCAGGAGCAACAGAGTGAGACCAGCCAAGAAGAGTGAGTCATATGACCACGGTTTGACACAGTTGCCAATGCTGTTTTCCATTTCATGTGTCCTCTGGAAGGGCGAAAGTGGAAAAGCAGACCCAGTTGTGAAGTTTAGCTTTTTCACATTCTGCCAGCTACCCTATGATGGTGTTATATGTTGTATTAGGACTAGAAATGGGACTTTAGTTCTGATACCTAAAAATCCCCTCTATCCAAGTTCTTAAAATGTGTTGAAAATAGAGAGCATTATGAAGTTAATTTCTCCTTATGTCATTGGACAGTCTAACTTGGTATTTTGTTCTCTCAATGACTTTAATTAAAATTATACTAACACAACAATGTAAAGCAATTATACTCCAATAAAGATGTAAAAAAAAAAAATATATATATATAGTATTCACAGGAAAAAAAGAAATTCAGAGTTAAAAAGAATACCATGAAAGGGCAGTGCTTTTATAGAAACAATTTAAACTGGACTGACTGTCCACCGTCCCAGTATACTTGCTAAAGAAGCTAAGGGCTCATTTAATTTTCGTGTTAGCTTTGCTTCAAAAACTAACAGCCACATTCCCAGGACATGGTCAGCCCTTAATCAAATAAAATGTTTACTGACTTTCCACTTGGTCCTTCCACTCAGCTGCTAAGTACATAGATGGTTCTGAAGAAATCAGACTTTGATTGAATGTATGTGTCATATCAATGCACCACTGCCAACTTGAAGAAACTTAGAGTAATGCCTAAGATTTATTGAGTGTTTATAAATGAGGCCAGAAGCTTTGCATGAATTACCTCATGTAATCTTCAGGACAGTTCTGAGTATTATAAGCAATTTTAATTTGCAGATAAGGACACAGGCTTAGGAAAGTTATGAAACTTGTCTCAGGTCAGTCAAAGGGATACACAGCTGTATGTCTGCATCTGCTGAGTAATATCTGGGGTTTCTGGGACTCCAGTCCCAGAAAGATCCTGAAAAATGCGGACTTGGATGATAGGGATGGAAAAGAAGGTGTGCTAAAATCAGGTCCCAGAGGCCCAGTCCTAATCTTGCCTTCCTGACCAGGGACAATCTTGACCAGGCCTGTCTGATCACACTCCAAGGAATATGGCTCGTGGCAGGTTCTCAGAGCAAACTTAACTCTTCACAAGCCAGGGACAGGTGTGGGGAGAGGGGACTGAGAAATGGAAGACGTGGGAACGCTGTCTACGAGGGGAGAAGAGAGGTGGTGGGCCTCCAGGCAGGTACCCCTTTGCAGCCCACACAGGCGCCAGACACTGACATGAAAAAGCAGCAAGCTCCGAGAGAGGCCCTCCTGCGCCGCCCGAACGCTAAGCCAAGGCTTATCCCTGACCTTGGTATATATAGACAGATATCCGCGAGAGCTCAAAGCCGAGGAGCTGAGGCGGCCAGGGCGCGCAACACGACGGTCTGGAATACGCTCGACGCGAGGAAGCATCCGAGCGCGCCCGAGCCGGGACTTTACCCGCGATCCGCCCCGGCCGCCGGCCCCTCCCAGCATCTCTTCTCCGTCAGCTGGAGCCCGGCCCCGGAGGTCCCAGGACGTCACCGAAGCGCGTTCGAGCCTCCAGCCCGCCCCCTGCGCGCCTTCCTTTTCCTCCCGTTCGGTGACGCGGAGGCTTGGGCCGCGCCTGTAAGCCCACGTCCCGTTCAGAACACGCTCGCTTCGGCCCGGCCTGCGCCTACCCCCTAGCCCAACCATGGCGGCTCTCACACGCCTCTCCTACCGCCTGCGGTTCTGCGCCTCCGCCCGCCGCCCCGGGGGCGCCTGGTCCAAGGTAAAAGTGCGGGTGAAGAGCAAGGCCGCGCGTCGAACGAGTGCGGACGAAACCCCGAGTGGTGCCAGCGTTTTCTCCGCTGCCCGTACCCACCCGCTCCAGTCCGGGAGCCGGCATCCAGGGCCCCGAGACGCGACGACGCCTTCCTTGCCTGGCCGCTCTGCCGCATGGCCTCCTTGGCTTGGTTCTGCACCTGCTTTCCCGATGGGGCGAAACGAGGCAAAGAAGCGCGCGGAGAGGCTGAGGGGCAGGAGGACGCCTGGCAGCGCCGCCGCGCCCTTTGGGGCTCGCTCGCGTCCTTCCGGGCACGCGTCTCCGCTTCGCTGGCAGCCTTCTGGGAAGGGGCTCTGGCGGCCGAAACGGGACGAGGGTTCGCTTGTTTAAAGGGGGCAAGGGGCGACGGCTGTAGCTGGTAGGTTTGCGCTCCGATTTGGGAATCTCGGGGCAGGGGCGCCTCTAGAGGCCCGGAACCCAGCGCTGGGCTAGCCAGGGGTCGGCTTGAGTTCACCGCCACGGGGATGGAACGCTGCGCCCCACCTCCCGGATAGGGCTGCGCCGCACCTCTGTGGTGGGACGGGGAACCCGGACTGGAGCCCTTGCCTGGGCGTTTTTTACCTCCCCACGCGGAGGAGCCTGTAGAGAATAGGCGGTGGCTAGAGCGCGGGCTTCGGGCACCGGCGTCCCTTCTTCCGAGGCTCCTCGGGATTTCCGATATCAAAGCCTTTTGCAAACCTTGTTCCGCCTTCACTGCAAACACGAGTGTAGTATCCTGAGGCATTCGCGCCGCGATTGTTGGCTGATGTGTGGTCTTTTTTTGCCCCATGCTCTGTCCCCGCCTGTAAGCCCACGTCCCGTTGCGGTTCCTATTACGAGTCCTCGGACAGAACCAGAGCTCTGAGTCTTGGAGGGTGGCTTACCACGGCTACGTCCATCACCACGGGAGCCTTTTCCTTGGAAGAGACAAGGAAAAGTGATGTTTTTACTTAGCAGCGTTTTGAATAATAGTTCCGAGCTTGAAAGCGTGCCTTGCACACTTGAGTACTCACAGGGAACTCCTGCCCCGTCCCATTGCTCTTCCTTCTTCCCCACGTCCACTCTCTGAGAGCGGTGAACGCAGAGGGGCCACCAAGCCCCGTAGGTAAGTGCTAGGATGATTTAGAACTGGACCGGTTTACTCATAAATGCTTCTTAGGAAGCATTTTGATAATTGCAGATAGCTTTGGATATGTAAAGCATTATTAAAAGGGACCTCGACCTTCAGTCAGATTGCTGTGGGCGCTGAAACTAATGCAAATCAGGACACAGCGATATCCTTGGGCCAAGGTCAATATCATTCCTTCTTTTGACAGTTACTTATTTGCCTAAGTGTAACTTACTCATTTTCTAACTATACTATTCCTGAAATCCAGCAAACCTCTTCTTAGATGGCCGAGCTACAAATTACGGGTTTTTTTTGTATCTCATCTCTCCTTTCAGGTTTGATTATCATAGGTCCAACTCCAGCTTCCCTGTGTTCCTTTGGTGCTTGGCACTTAGGGCTCTTACTGCTTATTTAGCCCATAAATCCTTACCTCCTGTTTGCGTTAACTGTGACACTTGTGTACTTGTTTAACTTTTTGAATGTGTGTACATTGTCTTCATAACCAGATGAAATTTGCAGAGACCATATTGTGTGCCTTATTCTCTGTCTCTCTCAACATTACACACTACCCTGCATAGAATAGACACTCAACACATTTCATAGGTGGATGAGAGAACGCTGTGGGAAACTTATGTGGTAACCTTGAGAATTTTTCTGCTAAACATACTCAACAGGTAAAATGAGATAGTTTTTTTTCTTTTTTCTTTATGATAAACGTGTCTTTCAAACTTGAGTTTGCATCAGAATTACCTGGAGGCTTTATTAAATAGATTGCTGTGTTCATCCCCAGAATTTCTGATTCAGTAAGTCCTGGCTGGAGCCCCATACTCTGCATTAATAAGTTCCCAGTTGATAATGCTTCAGATCTGAGGACTGCACTTTCAGAGCCATTGCCATTGACTTCGACTAAAATAGACTGTTGACTTAAATATATATATATATGCACAACGTGAGAGTTGTGAGTTAAGTTTTATTTGGGGCAAAATGAGGACTGCAGCCCAGGAGACAGCGTTTCAGATAACTCTGAAACTGCTTGGAGGAGTCCAGGGGAGGGACCAGGATATTTAGAAGTTTGGCTACAAAGAGCAGGTAATTGGGAACGTCAAAAGATTGTTGTTAAATAAAGAAAACCAGATATCTCAAGTTAAGGAATTTAGCACTTTTTTTCTCTGTGTGGGAAGATGGAAGAGTCTAGGCTCACTGAAATCACTCCTTTGATATGCACCTATCTGGGGCCTGTATATTTACATCCTGAGTTTCCTCAGGGCTCCCTGCAGGGAGTGGCTGCAGTCTGATGGCTGCTAGATGGTAGGTATTCTTTTCAGCCCTGAGTTTTTTCAGGGCTCATCAGCTCACATTGGAGGGCTTGCAATCGCTGGTGATGGTGACATTCTTTGTTTACTAATATGGCAGGAAATATTCAATTTCTCAGCCTACTTATTCAGACTATCAAACTTTTAATTTCTAAGATTAAAAATGTGTTTTTGTGTGTATGTGTGTGTTAAGACAGAATCACATAACTCCTTGCTACTTGAGGGTAGGGAAGAGGAGAAAGCTGTTTGTAACTCAAGCCCTTTCCTTTCTATCCCCGCCTCTACTTATTTCCCCGTGTTTGGGCAGTATGCCAGGGTATTCCAAGCTCCTCATCTGACCTTGACCAAGGTTGAAATTTAAAAGGACAAAGGTCATTTGGGCAACTATACCTTTGCAGGTCTTATTTGACTTTCAGTATAGTTCTCTTAAATTTTCTTTTGTATTAATTGACACTTTTTATGAAAGGAGTTTTTGGAGGAAGAAAAGAATGACAGAGCTCATTTTTGCTACTAAAAGGACCCCCTCGGGTTCTCTGTCTGGGAGACTGATAGGCCATTGATGTGAGTTTACAACCTCATGGATGTGAGTTTACAACCTCATGGATGTGTGTTTACAACCTCGTTGGGCTGGGTAAGGGACAGCATCTCAGGAGTCAGGTGTCATTCTCTCTACTCCGTCTCTTTTTATTTATTTATTTATTTTATTAATTTTTTTTGCGGTACGCCGGCCTCTCACTGTTGTGGCCTCTCCCGTTGCGGAGCACAGGCTCCAGACGCGCAGGCTCAGCGGCCATGGCTCACGGGCCCAGCCGCTCCGCGGCATGTGGGATCTTCCCGGACCGGGGCATCGGCAGGCAGCCTCTCAACCACTGCGCCACCAGGGAAGCCTCATCCCTCTCTTTTCAGGTTGACTATATAATGAGAATAAAGGAGAGAGGATGTTGAGTATGAGTGATTGATTACAACACAATCGACTTTATCATTTTTTTCCTGTCCCTATTGTGGACGAAGTGTAAAGAGGGAAACAGTTTAAAACTGATGGTGAATGCTCGCTAGATAGCCTGATTTGCAACAAATAGTACACTGGGGTAAGACTAACCATGCCTCTCTTGCAGGTAACAGTTTGCTACTTTTCTCCAGCATCCATAAACTTCAGGCGCCTTAGGGGAATGAGTTTTTTGGTGTGCTGTTCTTTACTTTTCCTTTCAGGAGGCATTCTTTGACACCCAGAATTGGATCAGAGTCCAAATATGTAGTATCTGTAGTATTGAGAGCAACAGTTGTGTCTTAATCCTTACTATCGATAGATTGAAATAAATAGTGCAGAACTTGGCACATAACTTTTGGCACAGTAAATATTTGTTGGTTGTGTTGCTATCAGAAATTGATGCTTGATGACACCGATATTGTGAATTTGAGTCCCAGTATACAGGTTATCTACTTTCTTTCACTCTTCCGAGGGGCCGCAAATGACACAGTTTTCCTTATATAATAAAAGGTATTGATCATAAGGGGATTCTGGTGATAATCTGTGGATAGAGTATGTCCATCCTATTCCTAAGATGAACTACTTACAGCCCAACTCTTTCAAAGATGAGCTAGTGAAATTGTATAGATAAAAATTGAATACATCGCTCTACATGGAAAGCAAATGCATGTTTCCAAATGTTTATTCACTTAAAAATGTTTTTTAATGTTTTAGGGATGTGTTGGCTACTTTTCAACCAGCACACGTCGCCATACCAAATTTTATATGGATCCAGTGGAAGCGGTAAAAGACGTCCCTGATGGTGCAACAGTACTGGTTGGTGGTGAGTAATAGTATTGTTTTTCTTTTTATGGTAACAGCCTTATGTTTTTAGCAAAGCAGGGAAATTACAATGGCAAAGTATGTAGATTAGAAATGCCAATTATTTTCTTGCTGATTGTTAATAAATGCCAAATATTGGAAATGCCAATTATTTTATTACTTATTTATTCATTATCTTATTTTTATTTATGAATTACATATTATCTATTTTTTATTAGTGTCCCCTTCCTGAAAGCTTAACAAGGTTTAGCAATTTATGTTTTACCTTTTCTTTCCTTCTGTGTTTCTTTTTCTATTATTTTGAAAAGCTGACACCTTAAATGGTGGTATCTTATTAGTAGTTTTGAAAAATCCATAGATTCTTGGGAATTCATTGATCTCATCAGCCCACAGCTAGTCACTCTTTTTGTTTCTCCTCATTTTATGAGTTTGAGAGCACATATGACTCTATCTGTTAGGGAGTCTCCCAAGTTCTTTGGTTCTCTTTGTATAGAATATCTTTTAGCACCACTGTCTCGCACTCATAATTGCTTTACAATGGTGTGTTAGTTTCTGCTTTATAACAAAGTGAATCAGTTATACATATGTCCCCATATCTCTTCCATCTTGTGTCTCCCTCCCTCCCACCCTCCCTATCCCACCCCTCCAGGCGGTCACAAAGTACCGAGCTGATCTCCCTGTGCTATGCGGCTGCTTCCCACTAGCTATCTACCTTACATTTGGTAGTGTATATATGTCATGCCTCTCTCTCGCTTTATCACAGCTTACCCTTCCCCCCCTCCCCATATCCTCAAGTCCATTCTCTAGTAGGTCTCTGTCTTTATTCCTGTCTTACCCCTAGGTTCGTCATAACTTTTTTTCTTAGATTCCATATATATGTGTTAGCATACGGTATTTGTCTTCAGACTTACTTCACTCTGTGTGACAGACTCTAGGTCCATCCACCTGACTACAAATAACTCAATTTTGTTTCTTTTATGGCTGAGTAATATTCCATTGTATATATGTGCCACATCTTCTTTATCCATTCATCCGACAATGGACACTTAGGTTGTTTCCATCTCCTGGCTATTGTAAATAGAGCTGCAATGAACATTTTGGTACATGACTCTTTTTGAATTATGGTTTTCTCAGGGTATATGCCCAGTACTGGGATTGCTGGGTCATATAGTAGTTCTATTTGTAGTTTTTAAGGGAACCTCCATACTGTTCTCCATAGTGGCTGTACCAATTCACATTCCCACCAGCAGTGCAAGAGTGTTCCCTTTTCTCCACACCCTCTCCAGCATTTATTGTTTCTAGATTTTTTGATGATGGCCATTCTGACTGGTGTGAGATGATATCTCATTGTAGTTTTGATTTGCATTTCTCTAATGATTAATGATGTTGAGCATTCTTTCATGTGTTTGTTGGCAGTCTGTATATCTTCTTTGGAGAAATGTCTATTTAGGTCTTCTGCCCATTTTTGGATTGGGTTGTTTATTTTTTTGTTATTGAGCTGCATGAGCTGCTTGTAAATTTTGGAGATTAATCCTTTGTCAGTTGCTTCATTTGCAAATATTTTCTCCCATTCTGAGGGTTGTCTTTTGGTCTTGTTTATGGTTCCCTTTGCTGTGCAAAAGCTTTGAAGTTTCATTAGGTCCCATTTGTTTATTTTTGTTTTTATTTGCATTTCTCTAGGAGGTGGGTCAAAAAGGATCTTCCTGTGATTTATGTCATAGAGTGTCCTGCCTATGTATGTTTTCCTCTAAGAGTTTGATAGTTTCTGGCCTTACATTTAGGTCTTTAATCCATTTTGACCTTATTTTTGTGTATGGTGTTAGGGAGTGATCTAATCTCATGCTTTTACATGTAGCTGTCCAGTTATCCCAGTACCACTTATTGAAGAGGCAGTCCTTTCTCCACTGTACATTCCTGCCACCTTTATCAAAGATAAGGTGAGCATATGTGCGTGGGTTTATCTCTGGGCTTTCTATCGTGTTCCATTAATCTAGCTTTCTGTTTTTGTGCCAGTACCATACTGTCTTGATTACTGTAGCTTTGTAGTATAGTCTGAAGTCATGGAGCCTGATTCCTCCAGCTCCGTTTTTCGTTCTCAAGATTGCTTTGGCTACAGGGGTCTTTTGTGTTTTCATACACATTGTGAAATTTTTTGTTCTAGTTCTGTGAAAAATGCCTGTGGTAGTTTGATAGGGATTGCATTGAATCTGTAGATTGCTTTGGGTAGTAGAGTCATTTTCAGAATGTTGATTCTTCCAATCCAAGAACATGGTATATCTCTCCATCTATTTGTATCATCTTTAATTTCTTTCATCAGTGTCTTATAATTTTCTGCATACAGGTCTTTTGTTCTCTGTAGGTGGGTTTATTCCTAGATTTTTTTTGTTTGTTTTTTTTTTTTGGTACACGGGCCTCTCACCATTGCGGCCCCTCCCATTGCAGAGCACAGGCTCCAAATGCACAGGCCCAACGGCCGTGGCTTACAGGCCCAGCTGCTCCGCGGCACACGGCATCCTCCTAGACCGGGGCACGAACCTGTGTCCCCTGCATCGGCAGGTGGACTCCCAACCACTGCACCACCAGGGAAGCCCCTATTCCTAGATATTTTATTCTTTTTTGTTGCAATGGTAAATGGGAGTGTTTTCTTGATTTCACTTTCAGATTTTTCATCATTAGTGTATAGGAATGCCAGAGATTTCTGTGCATTAATTTTGTATCCTGCTACTTTACCAAATTCACTGATTAGCTCTAGTAGTTTTCTGGTAGCATCTTTAGGATTCTCTATGTATAGTATCATGTCATCTGCAAACAGTGACAGCTTTACTTCTTTTCCGATTTGTATTCCTTTTATTTCCTTTTCTTCTCTGATTGCTGTGGCTAAAACTTCCAAAACTATGTTGAATAAGAGTGGTGAGAGTGGGCAACCTTGTCTTGTTCCTGATCTTAGTGGAAATGCTTTCAGTGTTTCACCATTGAGGACGATGTTGGCTGTGGGTTTGTCATATATGGCCTTTATTATGTGGAAAGTTCCCTCTATGCGTACTTTCTGCGGGGTTTTTATCATAAATGGGTGTTGAATTTTGTCGAAAGCTTTCTCTGCATCTATTGAGATGACCGTATGGTTTTTCTCCTTTAATTTGTTATTATGGTGTATAACATTGATTGATTTGCGTATATTGAAGAATCCTTGCATTCCTGGAATAAACCCCACTTGATCATGGCGTATGATCCTTTTAATGTGCTGTTGGATTCTGTTTGCTAGTATTTTGTTGAGGATTTTTGCATCTATGATCATCAGTGATATTGGCCTGTAGTTTTCTTTCTTTGTGACATCTTTGTCTGGTTTTGGTATCAGGGTGATGGTGGCCTCCTAGAATGAATTTGGGAGTGTTCCTCCCTCTGCTATATTTTGGAAGAGTTTGAGAAGGATAGGTGTTAGTTCTTCTCTAAATGTTTGACAGAATTCTCCTGTGAAGCCAGCTGGTCCTGAGCTTTTGTCTGTTGGAAGATTTTTAATCACAGTTTCAATTTCAGTGCTTGTGATTGGTCTGTTCATATTTTCTATTTCTTCCTGATCCAGTCTTGGCAGGTTGTGCATTTCTAAGAATTTGTCCACTTCTTCCAGGTTGTCCATTTTATTGGCATAGAGTTGCTTGTAGTAATCTCTTATGATCCTTTGTATTTTTGCAGTGTCAATTGTTACTGTTCCTTTTTCATTTCTAATTCTCTTGATTTGAGTCTTCTCCCTGTTTTTCTTGATGAGTCTGGCTAATGGTTTATTTATTTTGTTTATCTTCTTAAAGAACCAGCTTTTAGTTGTACTGATCTTTGCTATCACTTCCGTCATTTCTTTTTCACTTATTTCTGATCTGATTTTTATGATTTCTTTCCTTCTGCTAACTTCGGGCTTTTTTTGTTCTTCTTTCTCTGATTGCTTTAGGTGCAAGGTTAGGTTGTTTATTCAAGATGTTTGCTGTTTCTTAAGGTAGGATTGTATTGCTCTAAACTTCCCTCTTAGAACTGCTTTTGCTGCATCCCATAGGTTTTGGGTCGTTGTGTGTCCATTGTCATTTGTTTCTAGGTATTTTTTTATTTCCTCTTTGATTTCTTCAGTGATCACTTCGTTATTAAGTAGTGTACTGTTTAGCCTCCATGTGTTTGTAGTTTTTACACATCTTTTCCTGTAATTGCTATCTAGTCTCATAGCGTTGTGGTCAGAAAAGATACTTGATACAGTTTCAATTTTCTTAAATTTACCAAGGCTTGATTTGTGACCCAAGATATGATCTATCCTGGAGAATGTTTCATGAGCACTTGAGAAAAATGTGTATTCTGTTGTTTTTGGATGGAATGTCCTATAAATATCAATGAAGTCCATCTTGTTTAATGTATCATTTAAAGCTTGTGTTTCATTATTGATTTTAATTTTGGATGATCTGTCCAGTGGTGAAAGTGGGGTGTTAAAGTCCCCTACTATGATTGTGTTACTGTCGATTTCCCCTTTTATAGCTGTTAGTATTTTCTTTATGTATTGAGGTGCTCCTATGTTGGGTGCATAAATATTTACAATTGTTATATCTCCTTCGTGGATTGATCCCTTGATCATTATGTAGTGTCCTTCTTTGTCTCTTCTAATAGTCTTTATTTTAAAGTCTATTTTGTCTGATATGAGATTTGCTACTCCAGCTTTCTTTTGGTTTCCATTTGCGTGGAATATCTTTTTCCATCCCCTCACTTTCAGTCTGTATGTGTCTGTAGGTCTGAATTGGGTCTCTTATAGACAGCGTATATATGGGTCTTGTTTTTGTATCCATTCAGCCAGTCTGTGTCTTTTGGTGGGAGCATTGAATCCATTTACATTTAAGGTAATTATCGATATGTATGTTCCTATTACCATTTTCTTAATTGTTTTGGGTTTGTTATTATAATAGGTCTTTTCCTTCTCTTGTGTTTCTTGCCTAGAGAAGGTCCTTTAGCATTTGTTGTAAAGCTGGTTTGGTGGTGCTGAACTCTCTCAGCTTTTGCTTGTCTGTAAAGGTTTTAATTTTTCCATCAAATCTGAATGAATCCTTGCTGGGTAGAGTAATCTTGGTTGTAGGTTTTTCTCCTTCATCACTTTAAATATGTCCTGCCAGTCCCTTCTGGCTTGCAGAGTTTCTGCTGAAAGATCAGCTGTTAACCTTATGGGGATTCCCTTGTGTGTTATTTGTTGTTTTCCCCTTGCTGATTTTAATATGTTTTCTTTTATTTAATTTTTGAAAGTTTGATTAATATGTGTCTTGGCGTGTTTCTCCTTGGATTTATGCTGTATGGGCATCTCTGTGCTTCCTGGACTTGATTAACTATTTCCTTTCCCATATTAGGGAAGTTTTCAACTATAATCTCTTCAAATATTTTCTCAGTCCCTTTCTTTTTCTCTTCTTCTTCTGGAACCCCTATAATTTGAATGTTGGTGCGTTTAATGTTGTCCCAGCGGTCTCTGAGACTATCCTCAGATTTTTTCATTCTTTTTTCGTTATTCTGCTCTGCAGTACTTATTTCCACTATTTTATCTTCCAGGTCACTTATCTGTTCTTCTGCCTCAGTTATTCTGCTATTGAACCCTTCCAGAGTATTTCTAAGTTCATTTATTTTGTTGTTCATCATTGCTTGTTTCATCTTTAATTCTTCTATGTCCTTGTTAAATGTTTCTTGCATTTTCTCTATTCTCTTTCCAAGATTTTTGATCATCTTTACTATCATTATTCTGAATTCTTTTCCAGGTAGACTGCCTATTTCCTCTTCATTTGTTAGGCCTGGTGGGTTTTTATCTTGCTCCTTCATCTGCTGTGTGTTTTTCTGTCTTCTCATTTTGCTTATCTTACTGTGATTGGGTTCACCTTTTTGCAGGCTGCAAGTTCGTAGCTCCCGTTGTTTTTGATGTCTGTCTCCAGTGGCTAAGGTTGGTTCAGTGGGTTGTGTAGGCTTCCTGGTGGAGGGGACTAGTGGCTGTGTTGTGGTGTATGAGGCTAGATCTTGTCTCTCTAGTGGGCAGGTCCACGTCTGGTGGTGTGTTTTGGGGTGTCTGTGGACTTATTATGATTTTAGGCAGCCTCTCTGCTAGTGGGTGGGGTTGTGTTCCTGTTTTGCTATATGGTTGGCATAGGTTGTCCATTAGTTGTTGAGTGAAGCTGGGTGTTGGTGTTGAGATGGAGATCAATGGGAGATTTTCGCCATTTGATATTATGTGAAGCTGGGAAGTGTCTTGTGGACCAGTGTCCTGAAGTTGGCTCTCCCACCTCAGAGGCACAGCACTGACTCCTGGCTGCAGCACTAAGAGCCTTTCATCCACATGGCTCAGAATAAAAGGGGAAAAAGTAGAAAGAAAGAAAGAAAGCAAGTCCATAAAGGAAAATAAAGTAATGTAAAATATAATAAAGTTATTAAAATAAAAATGTATTAAGAAAAATAGGTTTTTTTTAGTAAAAAAAAAAAAAAAAACAAAGAAAAACAGACGTATAGAACCCTAGGACAAATGTTGAAAGCAAAGCTATACAGACAAAGTCTCACACAGAAGCATACACGTATAGTCTCACAAAAAGAGGAAAAGGGGAAAAAATAATAAATCTTGCTCTCAAAGTCCATCTCCTCAATTTGGGATGATTCATTGTGTATTCAAGTATTCCACAGATGCAGGGTACATCAAGTTGATTGTGGAGATTTAATCCGCTGCTCCTGAGGCTGCTGGGAGAGATTTCCTTTTTTCTTCTTTGTTCGCACAGCTCCCGGGGTTCAGCTTTGGATTTGGCCCCGCCTCTGCGTGTAGGTCGCTGGAGGGCGTCTGTTCTTCGCTGAGACAGGACGGCGTTAAAGGAGCCGCTGATTCGGGGGCTCTGGCTCACCCAGGCCAGGGGGAGGGAGGGGTACGGTGTGCGGGGCGAGCCTGCAGCGGCAGAGGCCGGCGTGACGTTGCACCAGCCTGAGGTGCGCCGTGCGTTCTCGCGGGGAAGTTGTCCCTGTATCCCGGGACCCTGGCAGTGGCAGGCTGCACAGGCTTCTCGGAAGGGAGGTGTGCTTGCTCACATGCTTCTTGGTGGCGGCAGCAGCAGCCTTAGCGTCTCATGCCCGTCTATGGGGTCCGCGCTTTTAGCTGCGGTTCGTGCTCGTCTCTGGAGCTCCTTTAAGCAGTGCTCTTAATCCCCTCTCCTCATGCACCAGGAAACAGAGGGAAGAAAAAGTCTCTTGCCTCTTTGGCAGGTCCAGACTTTTCCCCGGACTCCCTCCCAGCCAGCCGTGGTGCACTAACCCCTTCAGGCTGTGTTCACGCCGATCCTACGGAAGCCCAAGCCTCAGCTACCAGCCCTGCCCGCCCTGGTGGGTGCGCAGACAAGCCTCTGTGGCTGGTGAGTGCTGGTCGGCACTGATCCTCTGTGCGTGAATCTCCCCACTTTTCCCTCCGCAACCCTGTGGCTGTGCTCTCCTCCGTGGCCCTGAAGCTCCCTTCCTCCGCCACCCGCAGTCTCCGCCCGCGAAGGGGCTTCTAGTGTGTGGAAACCTTTCCTGCTTCACAGCTCCGTCCTACTGGTGCAGGGCCCGTCCCTATTCTTTTTTCTCTGTTTATTCTTTTTTCTTTTGCCCTACCCAGGTATGTGGGGAGTTTCTTGCCTTTTGGGAGGTTCAGTAGATGTTCTGTAGCAGTTGTTCCACGTGTAGATGTATTTCTGATGTATCTGTGGGGCGGAAGGTGATCCCGGCGTCTTACTCTTCCGCCATCTTCCCCCCTCTCTGTCCTGATTCTTATATTGTACATTTCTTTGGATTTCTTGGCCTTGGCCACAAAAATCAAGGCTTATTTTTAAGGCTGCTCTTCATTCATTCATTCATTCAACTCAGCAGTCATTGAACTTTAGACCCAAAACCATTTGAGGAATTGTCGAAGATGTAAAGAAATGAAAGTCATTGGCTTAGGCTTCTAGATCTGCACAATCAACTCAGGCATATAAAAGAAACATGCTTGAAAAAGTGACTGTACAAAGGTTCAATTTTAAAGTGGGAAAATAATAGATACGTAGTTAAGTGCAAGAAGAACAACTTGTAGCCGTATTAGCACGTTGCACTTGGCCTTATACTTATGAATCAAGACTTGACAGTGATGTCTGGTACTATATAACGATGTAAAGCATTTGGATACAGCTGTATGACCATTTATTTTATTTTTTCTGAGGTTAATTTTTGCTTTTATTTGCCAGTAGACTTAACCAACATGACCTGCCAACTTTTTTGATCTAAAAGATACATTTTACATCACAATCCAACAAACACACACATATAAAATATGTATACGTATATAAGTGAAAGAAAAGTTTTGCCAAAAATGTCTATCCTGAGTGTTAATTCTTTTTTTTTTTCTTGAGACTATTTTTTAAGCAGTTTTAGGTTTACAAGAAAATGGACAGGAAGGTACAGAAATTCCCCATGATCCCCCTCCCCACACATGCATAGCTATTATCAAGAGTGGTAGCTTTTTTTTTTTTATAACCAGGGATGAACTGCCTTGGCATATAATCAACAAGTCCACAGTTCATCTTAAGGTTCACTTTAACGAAGTGAATAGTGTTGCATGTTCTGTGGGTTTGGACAAAAGTGTAATGACATATATCCATCATTATAATGTCATACAAAGTATGTCACTGCTCATAAAAACTTATGTACTCTGTGTATTCATCTACCCCCTCCCCTCAAATTCCTGGCACCAGGAATTTCATCTTTTTATTGTGTATTTATTAAGTTGCTGAGATATGCCTGTGCATTTTGCTTAGTAGGTCTAATAATGTGTTGGTATATTTTCTTTTTTATTAAAAAGAATGACACACACATTTCCCTAAAAGAACATTACCCTCTACACAAATTGTTTATCTTTTTGGCTCATTATAGGTTTTGGCTTATGTGGAATTCCAGAGAATCTTATAGGAGCTTTGCTAAAGACTGGAGTAAAAGGACTAACTGCAGTCAGCAACAATGCAGGGTAAGCGTGCATTTTTAAAACAATGGCTTGAAAGAAATGACAGTCCTCCATGATACTGAAATGAAGTCTATCAGTGAAATGAAAAATTTCCGTATTGACAAGACCAATATGCTCAAGGATTAGAAGATAATGTTTATTGGAACTTCCGCTGCAGTCCAGTGGCTAAGACTCTGCGCTTCCACTGCAGGGAGCATGGGTTTGATCAGGGAAACCAAGATCCTGCAATGAAAAAAGAAAGTATGTTCAAATTGAGTCCTTCATTTTAAAATTTAAAGAGGTTCCTTTATGTTGTATGTTATTGTAGATCTTTATTTATAAAGGAAGATGGACATCCATTTGAAATCTGTTTCAAGTCTTTTCTTTTGGTTATGCCCTTACCCTAGATGATACCTAAAGAATACCATCAATCATTACAAATGTTGCTGGTCTTGGTAAAAGGAGGAGGGTATGCAGCTGGCACTTAAGACAGTAGGCTCACATATCAAAATGGTCAAAAATGAGCCATACAATTTTAATGATGAATGGCCTGAATATTAAGATATATTTAGTTATCAAGGAAAAAGCTATTTTTGTGCAAAATGGTGAGTTGTCAGCTCTCTTTTAACAATGAAAGACTTTAAAGATCTTAAAAATTAAAGAAATTAACCGAATTGGCAGTTTAGTAGTCTGTTATCATAAATGCAATTTAGAAGAAATAGCACAGATTATTTAGGAAACAAAACTGATCTACATTTGTGCTCATTTTTTCCTTTGCTGAGTTTATTTATGGTATTATTTTCATTTGGAAGGCTCTCCACTTCTCTGCCTATCCACATGTTTCCCATCTTACAGAAGAAGCCCTATCTAATTATAGAACTGCTCTAGCCTTCATTGATCTTTCCCCTTTCTGAATTCCTTTGGAGATGGTTAGCCTTTCTTTGTGTACTGAATTATATTTTTTATCTCTGATGTATATTACAGGCCAATCCTGTTACTTGGAGTAGTTTTCTTTTTTCTTTTTATTTATTTTTTAGCTGCTCCACGTGGCATGCGGGATCTTAGTTCCCCCACCAGGGATCAAACCTGTGCTCCCTGCAGTGGAAGCGTAGAGTCTTAACCACTGGACTGCCAGGGAAGTCCCTAGAGTAGTTTTCTATTTCCTGCTATGCTTAGCCTATAGTCTGAGAATCACCGAGAGTTGGAGCTGGACGGGATTGTAGAGATCATCTGTTCCAGTTCCCTCATTTAACAGGGGAAACTCATCTGTAATCAGGGAAGTAACTTGTTCATGATCACTTGATATTTCTTAAACACATCCTGTGCCCTTTGAGCTGACTTTATATTTATTAAAAATACTTTTGATTATCAGTACTTGGTTGGGTTTTCCTGTTAGCTCAGTGCTTACAAGGAGTGGTGTAGATCAATGTAAATTCTCGTTGCAGAGTAGGTACCGATAACCTACTTCGTTGAACTCAAAGAAGGCACTTTGCTCACCCTCATTGGCAGTTGATTCTCATAATTAGAGGAGTTTAAATCCTTGAGGTCTATAGGGATGAGGGCTTTGTTTTGATCCTTAGAGTCAGATAAATGAGGACAACTTAGCATCACTTTATTGGAGAACCAATGACATGGTTTGAGTTGCTGGGTAAATGTAGAGAACATGGAATTAGAAGTAATGGTCATCACCAATATGTGGAATCGAAAAGAATGATACAAATGAACTTATTTACAAAACAGAAATAGACTCACAGACAGAAAACAAACTTATGGTTACCAAAGGGGAAAGGGGGCAGGGGAGGGATAAATTAGGAGTTTGGGATTAACAGATATATACTACTATATGTAAAATAGATAAACAAGGACCTACTGTATAGCACAGGGAACTATATTCAATATCTTTTAACAACCCATAATGGAAAAGAATCTGAAAAAGAATGTATATGAATATATAACCAAATCACTCTGCTGTACACCTGAAACTAATACAACATTGAAAATCAACTATACTTCAATTAAAAAAAAAGAAGTAATGGCTATTTTCTCCTTTAGAAAAAGGCTCCATGTATATAAGTTCTGCCTGAATTGGAAGTCTTTCCAAAGCTCAAGATTCCTGATTGTCTGCTTTTGTTTTATTTGCTTTTAATGATCACTAAGACCTGTTGGCCTGAGGTACCACTTACTTTGCTATGGAGTATTAACTGTTAGTCTTGATATGACAAACCCTACCTTAGGATCACTCAGATGAATTAATACTTTGATATGGATTGATTAGGAAGGCAGGAAAATTGCAGATACTCCTTTGATTTTTGGAAGACTTTGACATATGAATTACAAGCCTGTATAAACCAAAAGTTTCATGATATGCTATATATCAACCAATTAAATCACAGAGCCCAGGGAAGAATAGGTGTGCTATATTATTTATTTTCATTTCCTTGTGACAAGGTAATTTTGGATTACAGTTCTTGAAGGTGGGGATTTAGACAACTCCAAGGGCAGCCCCACTTCCATGTAGAAGACTAATAAATACTGACAGGTAATATGTACAGCAGTCCTCCCTTATCCATGATTTTGCTTTACGTGGTTTCAGTTACCTATGGTCAACCTTGGTCTGAAAATATTAAATGGTTCCAGAAATAAGCAATTCATAAGTTTTAAATTACAGGCTATTCTGAGTAGTGTGATGAAGTCTCGGGCCCTCCTGCTCTGTCCTGCCCTGGGTGTGAATCATACCTTTGTCCAGTGTACCCCTCCAGTTGGTCACTTAGTAGCCACCCTGGTTATCAGATCCATGGTCATCAGATCCACTGTTGCCGTATCCTCGGTTATCAGATCCATGATCTGTATCACAGTGCTTGTGTCCAAGGAACCCTTATTTTACTTAATAATGGCCCCCAAGTGCAACATTATTATTAACAGTGGAGAGCTGTTTCCTCCAGCCCTGGGCCTGATGGGGTGAGGGGAGGGGGCTGTTGGGACCCAGAAGAAAGCCTTACGGAGAGGGCTATCCAATGTGCTACAGCCTGCCAGGGAGAGAGCCAAGGGTATAGATGTCCTGCTACCATTCTCCCCCCACACCCCCCAACCCCCCTGGTGGTGTCTTACACTGGCTGAACCCAATCAGTAATGGATGGGCCCAGTCAGAAGCCAGAGGGCAGGACACACCATGATTCAGTCTACACAGGGCAGCTGCTCCAGGCTAGAGGTTGGAGAATAGATCCGGAGGGACACATAGCAAATATCTAGCATGAAGACTTGATGATTTTCATTTTTATTACAAAGGAGCCAGTGAGGAGGGGGAAAGTGAAATCAAGCAATAAATTCATTTGACAAATGGTCAACAGATGTTTATGTAGAACCCTGTCTGGAGGAAGAGTTTCCTAGAGAGATGGAAAGGCCAGTTCAAGGCCCCTAGACAGGATGTCTGGTATGTTTGAGGGACTGTAAGGAGGCCAGCAGAGGTAGAGAAGTGAGCAAAAAGGAAAACGGGAGGAGTGAGGTCAGAGGTGTGAAAGGGCATTCCATCCCATCCCAGGGGGCCTTGCAGTCCACTCTAGAGACATTTGCTTTTACTCTAAATAAATGGGTACCAAGGCAGGGTTTTGAGCAGAGCAGTGACATGATCTGACATATTTTATTTTATACTTGTATTTTTGGGTGTCATTTTATGAGTAGATCGTAGCAGGCAGGAGTAGAAACAAGAAAGGTTACTGCAGTATCCGGGGAAGAGATGGGCCGGTCCCAGAGAGGGAGTGAGAAATGCTCAGATTCTGGATAGATTCTGAAGGTAGAGTCAGGATTTTCCAATAAAGTTGCCATGGAATGTGTGTGTCAGAGATCACACCATGAATTTTGTTCTGAAGTAGTGAGGATGGGGCTGCCATCAGGTGAGATGAGGACGGCTGCAGATGGAGCTGAACTGAGGGGAACAGAATTGTTTACCTGAAGAACTGAAGGCCTAGCTAGATAGTAGTTAGCAGTAGGTAAAAACAAACAAAAAACGTAAAGCATTTTGTGTAATGTTTTGCAAGACCGACTATTTAGTGATTTGTAGCCCTCTAGTGGACAAGTGTGTTATCAATCTTCAGGGAATTTTCACATCTCAAAAATGCACTCTTGAAAATACTTGTTATTTAGGCTTTAGTTTTCTTTTGAACCAAGTAAGAGTAAATCATGCAGGTATTTCTTTTACACTCATGGTGGGTGGGAAATGTTATTAGATTCAATATTGGAAGCTAGGACTATAAAACAAGTCTATCAGGAGGTTGACAGTTACCTGTTACCTGAACTACTTTAAGGTATTCAGTGTGTCAGGACAGTTGGGGGGAGGTTAGAGGCTTGGAAATGCATTCTGAGAATTAAGAAAGAGTTAGTTGAGTGGGAATGGCTACTTGTGGGCATGAGAATGAGGAGGGAGAGTGAAGTCGAAGTTGGGAGAAAAGGAGGTTGTCAGGAGAAATGTGAGTGGTTTGTCATATAAAATTTCAACTTTTTGAATGTAAGTGATATTAATATTCTATCAGATGTCCCTTTGATTGTAAGCTGCTTGCATTTTCCTTCTAGGGTTGACAACTTTGGTTTGGGCCTTTTACTTCGATCCAAGCAGATAAAACGCATGATCTCTTCGTATGTGGGTGAAAATGCAGAATTTGAACGACAGTATTTATCTGGTGAATTAGAAGTAGAGCTGACACCTCAGGTAAAAAAAAATTCTCTTTGTTTTTTTTTTTTTTTTTTTTACAATACTAATTTATTTTAAAATTTACCTTTTTCCTCCTAGAAATTTCATTGTGTAAGAGAGGTAAGGTAGAATGCTCTTTTGCCAAACAAAGGAATTGTGTTTATAGGTCACACCTCTTGATTGCTAGAGAACTATTTTGTTGCTGTGCACTGAAAAAGAAGGTGAAAATATCTAGGCTACAGGATAAAATTTTAAGTTTGGCACTATAATGTATATTTCATTGGAGCATGCAAAATAAATTGCTGGAATGTTTGATGATTGTCCTAAAAGTCAATTCCTATGTATCACAGAATTAGAAATTTGTGGGGAATCTGGTCTTGCTGAGACATAGGAAAGTAAAGGCCATGGAGGGACTACATCACAGAGTAAGTGCTGGGATCAGAGCCCAGGTGTCTAGAGAGCTGACGCCATTGCAAAGGAAGCAGTGATTGCAATTAATCTAGCAAGTTTCTGCTCACTTTATATACCACAAACTCTCCTAACTGATTGAAGAGTTTGTCACTGAGCAAAGTTTTTGAAGCCGTATGAGTAAAACAAGGGTCTACAGGTTGTATACATTACTCTTCCATTTTGACATGGTCTGCCTTCATCTCTGAAACTGAGCCCACCACACTGCTTTATTTTGTCAACAGAATGTATTATTACCACTAACTTCATCAAATTGGTAATGATGTAATATAGCAGAATTTTTAAAAATTCAATCATTAAATCACTGTATATGCTTATCTGGAGAGAGCAAGCATGGGAGAACTGTTTTTTTCTACCCGAAGCTTCACAGTGTTTTTCCAACTCACACCTGATCACTCTACAGTGTTGGCACCTGTGCTTCTCATAGCATTACACATGCTTGATTTATCCAATCTTCATTTAAAGTTTTTTGAGAATAACAAAAAGTGTACTATCTTCATTGCTTGTGCCATTTTTACAAAATACCACAGACTGGGTGGCTTAGAAAAGACAAATTTATTTCTCACTGTTATGGTGGCTGAGAAGTACAAGATCAAGGTACAGGCTGATTTGGTTCTTGGTGGGGGGAGGGGAGAGAGGGAGAGGGACAGTGAGTGGGAGAGGGAGAGCACGTGCAAGTCAGTGCTCTGGGATCTCTTATCATAAGGCCACTAATCCTCTTCGATCAGGGCTCCACCCTTATGACCTCATTTAACCTTGTTGCACCTTGGGGGTTAGGGCTTCAACATATGAATTTTGGGAGGTGGGGAGGACACAAATCCGTCCATAGCATATAGTTTTCATCTTCACATTATAGGTTGAGGTAACATAGCCTTTGAGTTGTGGAGCTATTGAAAATTAAGTTTTCAATTACCTTTTTTGTCTTTCTTTTTTTTTTTTGACTGTGCTGGGTCTTCGTTGCAGTACGCGGGCTTCTCTAGTTGTGGCGCACGGGCTCTAGAGTGCGCGGGCTCAGTAGTTGCAGCACACGGGCTTCTCTCTAGTTGTGGCTCATGGGCTTAGTTGCCCCGTGGCATGTGGGATCTTAGTTCCCTTACCGGGGATTGAACCTGCATCCCCTGCATTGGAAAGTGGGTTCTTAACCACTGGACCACCAGGGAAGTCCCTGCCTTTTTTTTATCTTTTGCATTATCCCTTATTTTGTCAGAGGGCATATACATGGGAAAGGAACTTCCTTAATATTTCTTTTCATATTCTTCCTTTAAGCTGAAAGAAGTCAGAATTTCCTGCCCCAGCTTAGTGGTGCATGAGTAAACATTGGCTCTAGGAACTCGTTTGCAGTCTGAAAGCCAGGGAGGAAGTGCTGATGAAGTGGTAGGGATTAGGACTCCCTTGGGGGTTGGATGTGGGGTCTTGGTGGTACCTGCAGGGGGCCTGTATGTGGCAATAGTCGATTTTCATGCCTTTGCCCAGTTGGACAAAGAGGAGTATAGTATTCAGGGAGGGTGGACATAAAAAATATTTTAAAGTAGGGAGTGTTATTATGGTTGTTTTGATGATTTAATTTTTGTGGATGTTATTAACTTAAAATACCCAAAGTGCAGGGAAGAGTCACCTCTGTCCATCAGTTAGAACAGAGAACCAGGTATCTGGAAGGTTTTCAGTTATGTCACAGGTCCGTCCTTCCTCAGAATATCCCGCCTATTCCAAATGACTCAGTGTCTGAAATCCCAGCTGCTAGTCCCTTCTTTGAGTTTAGTATTTAAAGGCCCCAGTTCAAGTGGAAACTTGTTTTCAGGTTGGGACAATATTAACACACCATCATTAATATCTAAACCTAGGGAATTCCCTGGCAGTCCAGTGGTTAGGGCTCCGTGCTTCCACTGCAGGGGGCACGGGTGCAATTCCCTGGTCGGGGAGCTAAGATCCCACAAGCCGCGTGACACAGCCATAACAAAACAAAACAAAACAAAACAAAATCTGAAACTATTCTTACTACTGGTTAGCTAGTCAGTTATCTAGTCTGAATATGATGTAGCTAGACTGTAACAAGATGTTTCACATTAGGGAGCGTGTCAGGAAACATTCGGGTCCAGAGTTATTACCCTGTGGGAAAACCAGGTGGAAAGGCAGGTGGTGGTGGAAGAGCTGGGGAAATTACATTTGAAATCACTGGTCCCTAGGAGGGGGACAAAGATAATCAGAAGAAGATACAAAAGAACTTTACATATAGCTGTTCCAACTCTGAAACAAAATTTGAATCTCTCTTGGCTTTTTAAAAACCATTTTACCTGTATGTTGTACTCTTTGCCTATCTTGAATTCTTCCTTAGTTAGATAATGTAGTAGATAAAATACTTATGAGAATGGTTTAGAAAAAATTCTAGATAGGTTTGAATGTTTTACATTATTATTATATAATCATAACATCGTTATTAAAGGTAAGGTTCAGGCCATGCCTACATAGAGCACATAGTAAAACACAAAATTTAACTGTATGTTTTTTAATGTATACAGTTAAAGTTACATACTTCAGATTTGGAAATTTATTTAAAAATATCACAGATAGACTGATGTAGAATGTGATGTCAAGAAACCAGTGGAGACATGGAAGCTGAAAGCACTAATATACAAATAAGCAGTTCCATTAAGAATTAAGGATTAAGGATAGAGAGGTTGTTGTCTAGAAAGGTAATAACTGTTTTACATTGATATTCTAGCCTTCGGTGTCAGCGAGACAAACCAGTATGCACTGCTGGGTGTGGTTTAGATTGATAAACACCTAGAAAACAGGGATGGTGCCTGTAAGTGTTTCTGTGTCTGCAGACAGAAGTGTGTTTAATGGACTTCTGATGCAGTGCTGTTTTTTCACTTGTAGGGCACGCTTGCAGAGAGGATTCGTGCAGGTGGGGCTGGAGTTCCTGCATTTTACACCAGCACAGGGTATGGGACCCTAGTGCAAGAAGGAGGGTCACCGATCAAATACAACAAAGATGGCAGCATTGCCATTGCCAGTAAGCCAAGAGAGGTAAGAAAGCTGGATATCTCTATCAGCACAGGATTCCAGGTGGACTCGTTGGGTAACTAAGTATAAAACCACACCTGTTGGGCTTCCCTGGTGGCGCAGTGGTTGAGAGTCCGCCTGCCGATGCAGGGGACGCGGGTTCGTGCCCCGGTCTGGGAGGATCCCACATGCCGTGGAGCGGCTGGGCCTGTGAGCCATGGCCGCTGAGCCTGCGCGTCCAGAGCCTGTGCTCCGCAACGGGAGAGGCCACAAGAGTGAGAGACCCGTGTACAGCAAAAAAAAAAAAAAAAAAAACCCACACCTGTGTGAGAACACACAGTATCATTCATTCCATAATGTAAACATGTTAGGTAAAATTTCTAGCTAAAACTGAGCATCTGCTAGTAATTTAAATCACATAGAGAGACCAGAATAAATAAATGAGAAGGAAAGAATCTGTAATCCATAGAAGAGGTACAAGTCCAGATTAGTTTTATGGTAAGTTTTAAGAAATTTAGGAGCGTTTATAATTGCTGATTATGTTTATGTGGAAAATAGAGTAGATGTATGCTATATATGGTATTAAACTGTTCATGCTCAGGCCCCTTCTGGATGTGATTGAAGGGGGAGAAAAAAGCCAAAGAAATCACGTTTGTCTACAGTCTTAAAAAGCGGGGGCAGTTATAACTATATAATGGAACAGAGGGTTCATATTATCTCCTTTGTCCTTCATTTTGTATACTGGACATATTTGAATAACTGAATAACTTAGTTTTATTTAAAGTGCTAGATAGGATGGGGTATCTTTATACTGGGTAACTTCACTCACATATTAGAAAAGAATAGGGACTTACCTGGCAATCCAGTGGTTAAGACTTTGCCTTCCAATGCAGGGGGTGTGGATACGATTCCTGGTTGGGGAACTAAGATCCCACATGCCTCATGGCCAAAAAACCAAAACATAAAACAGAAGCAATACTGTACCAAATTCAATGAAGACTTTAAAAATAGTCCACATCAAAAAAATCTTAAAAAAAAAAAAAGAACTCTAGATATAGGTATTTGAGATACTCAGGTTTGAGCCAGTTTTTAAAATGACACAGGCCAGCTGTATTTTTAGTGTCTTTCCCTTCTCCCTGCCCACATGGCTCATGAGCATTAACAAATGTTGCAGAAATGCTCAGCTTATCTCTAGGGAAGCGAAAATTTAGTAAATCAAGGGCTTTTATCACCTTTCTGCTTATAGGGATGTTAGCTCTGCACGTCCGTGTTTTGAGGGAAGATAAAGGTCATGCCCTTGTCCCCTGCTGTCCAGTGTTTATCCAGCAGCGTCTCCATCTGGAGCTTTGCCTTTCTGATTAGAGTGACCTATATTGACTCAAAGCTTTTGTTAAAATTTTTCATACTCTATCTTGCTTCTTTCTTTACCGCCTAATTAGGTTTAAAAAGTTTTTGACAAAGCAAAGGACAGGAACCTAATTATTAACATGGATCTTGGTTAATATAGGTAAAGATGCCTGGCCAAATCGGGTGAACGCTTTGAGAGCTTGCTAGAAGTTACAGCATTAACTCTCCTGGTGAAAACATAGGATAGACTAGAATCTGTTCTGAATGCCTGGGTTCATCTCAGCCTGGAGTCAGGTATAGGAATCTAGCAGTTTTGTCATTTTGTCTGCATCCCCTAGGAATACAACAATAATTTCTTGAAATGATTCTTGTTAGCTCTTTGTTGTCCTTGATTACGGTGGGAAGAGGAAATGAGTGAATTTCTTAGGTCAGTGATAGTTATTGAGGACCTTCTGTTTGTCAAGCACTGGTCTAAGTGTGGTGGAAAAAGGGGTGTTCTAGACCAAGTCCCCCTGACAGGGAACAAATAGACAAACACACAGTGTCAATACTGGAAGTGCTGTGAACACAAATCAAGTAGGGCAAAGGCAGAGAGGCTGATGAGTGGTCAGGAAGGTGTGCTCCAGGCTGGGTCAGGGAAAACCTCTCTGAGTAGGTGACATTTGGTAGAGACCTGAATAAAATAGGGAATGAGCTGGGTGAAGATTATAGGTTTGTGCTCTAGTCAGAAGGAAGAGGAATGACAGGGTCCCAGGGCAGGCTTGCCTCATGTGTGGAACAGCAGGGCAGTGAGACTGGAACAGAGTGAATGAGGAGAGAGTGGTAGGGTTGGAGGTTAAAGAGAGGCAGGAGCCAGACCACACGAGTTTGGCCTTTACTGAGTGTGGTGAGAGGACAACAGAGTGTTTTGAATATGGTGGGACAGTGATGGGATCTGAGTTACATTTTGGAAAGAGCACTGTGGCTGTTGGGTAGTGAGTTTTTTTGCTGGAAACCCAACAGCAGAAGCAGGGAGACGGATGAAGAGGCTGTTGTATTAATCCAGGTGGGAGTGGAAGGTGATTTAGACTAAGGTGGCAACAGTGGAATTTGTGAGAAGCGGTTGCAGTTGGGAAATATGTTGATAGTAGAGCCAACAGGATTTACTGAGTAAGAAAAGACAAGAATCAAGCATGCTGCTTATTGAAAAGGGCCGAGCATGGGGGTAATCAAAGAGCTCTGCCTGGACTTGGTGCTTTTGAGACATTCATTAGCTTCCAAGAGGAGGTGTTCTGTAGGCTTGAGCTCAGCTCCGGGAGGGTTGAGAGCTGGGGTAGGAACTTTGGAGGCATCAGCATGTGGTGTTTAAATCCATGGGACTGGGTCTGGAGTGTAGACAGAGAACAGCTCTTTCGCATTTAAGGGTTTAGAAGAGGCCTGACATTGAAAGGTTGAAAAGAGGAAAGGGAGCAGCAAATAAGATGAGAAAGAGTTATTTTCTCCATTGTATTTCCCATAATATCGATTATCTTTACTATTGTTACTCTAAATTATTTTTCAGGTAGACTGCCTATTTCCTCTTTATCTGTTTGGTCTTGTGTGTTTTTACAAAGGAGGGGGTGATCAGCTGTGTCAGAGTATGAAGAGGTTGGGTAAGAGGACTGGAAATTGACTATTGGATTTGGAAACGTGGAGGTCATTGGTGACCTTAAACAGTGATTTTTCTGGAGAAGAGGATTTTTCTGGAATGGTGAAAATTTGACTGGAGTGGATTCAAGAAAGGACTGAAAGATGGGGAAGTGGAGACTCTGACGTGCATAACTCTTTCAAGTGAATATAACAGCTAGTTGGACAAAACCGATTCCTCCCTTGTTTTAAAATTTTAGAATACTGAACACTTAGCAACTGCTGATGTGTAGACCCTTCAGGAAATTAGATAACTGGAATAGAAAGAAACGCCAATGTTTTTACTTTGCCCTGGCTTAGCATATATTTAGATGTATATGTAGTTCTCTAGATCTGTATGTAAAGGCCTCAACTATCATCTCTGGTGATGGCTGAAATACATAAGACTTAAACTATATTGATGTGTAGGTTACAAATATCTTTCATATAATTTGTCTAAGTTCATATTAATATGATCCTCATTCATCAGTGATTCCCTAAATTCATTAATCTTTTCTAACAGGAAAGTGGGATAATGTCTTTAAGGAAACTGTTCTTTAAGAAATGATTCTGTTTTAGTGCAAATCAAAACTACCATGAGGTATCACCTCACACTGGTCAGAATGGCCATCATCAAAAAGTCTACAAACAATAAATGGTGGAGAGGATGTAGAGAAAAGGGAACCCTCCTGCACTGTTGGTGGGAATGTAAATTGGTGTAGCCACAATGGAAAACAGTATGGAGGTTCCTTAAAAAACTAAAAGTAGAGTCACCATATGATCCAGCAATCCCACTCCTGGGCATATATCTGGAAAAGACAAAAACTCTAGTTTGAAAAGATACATGCACCCCAATGTTCATAGCAGCACTATTTACAATAGTCAAGACATGGAAGCAACCTAAATGTTCATCAACAGATGTATGGTTAAAGAAGATGTGGTATATACATACAGTGGAATATTACTGAGCCATGAAAAGAAATGAAATAATGTCATTTGCAGCAACATGGATGGACCTAGAGATTATCATACTAAATGAAGGCAGACAGAGAAAGACATATCATATGATATCACTTATCTGTGGAATCTAAAAAATTGATACAGGTGAACTTATTTACAAAATAGAAATAGACTCAGACATAGAAAACAAATTTATGGTTACCAAAAGGGAAAGCGAGGGAGAGGGATAAATTAGGAGTTTGGGATTAACATACACACACTACTATATATATATAAATAAACAAGAACCTACTGTATAGCACAGGGAACTATATTTAATATCTGTAATAACCTATAATAGAAAAGAATCTGCAAAAGAATATATATGTATATGTGTACATATATATGTCTGAATCACTTTCCTGCACACCTGAAACTAGCACAATACTGTAAATTAACTATAATTTAAAAAAAAAGAATTTCTTTTCCTAAACCACAGTTAAACAAAAGTAAATGTACTGGAGCTTTCTCCAGCTTTCTATAAAATGCATGTAATTTTTCCACTAGGGGGCGCAGTAGGAATGAAAATGGAGTTTGGCCTTTAAATGGCTCCCATCTTGTGTGGTGATGGAGAGAGGTATTGACGTTGTTTCCCCTCTTCGTTTCAATTCCCAGAGCTAAGTCCCCACGAAGAAAAAAGGAACAAAATGCCGCGGCATAGTTTTGCTTTATGCGTCTTCTCCCCTCCCCTCCCATTTGGAGTAGAATTAAAAGTAAATAAACATACAAAAATCAATAGCCTTCCATTAGACCAGTAATGACAGAGAGAAGGTATAATAGAATAAAATATAACAGTCACAGTGGTATCAAAAACCAAGAAGCGCCTATGAATAAAGCTGGAAAATATATACAAAGCTTTTTCTGAGGGAAAACTATGAAACTATTGAAGGAGGTAAAAGAAGACTTTAAAAAATGTAGGCCTATATTCTCACAGGTGAGAGGATATAGCATGTCAGTTCTCTACAAATTAGTCTACAGATTTTAGGAATCCCAATTAAAATCTCAACAGAGGATGATGGATTAGAAGAGATGAATGGATTTTTATAACTATTTTAGGTAGGAAAACAGTGCATTGCCCATTTCATGCAACTTACATGGTTTTCTGGGGTGGAGGGAAA